GTCAGAATGATGGGATTGTACGTAATATAAAATACTACTTAATGTATACAAGATGCATATATACTATATGTGACTGTTTGGTGCATTATTTAAGTTTAAATCTACCAGAACTTGTGATGAAAGTATGGACAGAGAGAAGAATTTCATGATTTGCTTCAGATGATGTGGCTTCACATCCGTAAAGTACTGTAATAACATCATATCCTTGTATGTAATATAATACGTGGCTTCTAACTTGATCATACTTGCAACAAAGACGTAGTGTAGCGGGTCTTCATAGTGGTGATCACAGGAACAGCCTGGACTGTCAGTCATGAATCTGTCAAATGTATGTCCGTTCAGGTCACTACATCCGAGTCTGAGGCGGAGGTGCATAATTTGACAGAATTCTGTTCCAAAATCTGTATTAAAGAAATGTTTTTAATTGGTATTGAATGATAATACATTTCGAAAAATTGAGTATGAGCCAGTAGATTAAATCTCGTTATTAATGACTCCCAAATGCCAGTTCTTAGTGTCTCCGGCGCAACAGTCTCAGGCTCCGCTATATCCTGGTAGATGCGTCCCTTTGTCGTTCCGGTATCCCGTAGGTTCGAACTCAAGCATCGTCCTATAAACACCATACCTGTGTTAAGGGATTTCTCCTTATGATATGCTATGATATGACCTGTGTCAATACGGCGCCTCCTACCATATCGTCTTGACGCGCCGAGATACAACTGAAATACCGTTCACAGCAACCTTAATCATATTGTACTTAACTAACAAGTACATACTTTTCATGAATTTACGTCCTCTTTCAAATAGCTAAAACAAATTTCACTATTCTCAAAGTACGGAGTGCACAGGATTCCCGGATTGTTTGTAATTAAGGTTTTTTTCAGTTTTAGGTCAAATGTCATCGATACAGCCACCGAGGTGAAGGTGTCAATCATAGCGTGACGTAGAGTGATTGCAGTCCATTACAAGCCGTGATTAGATTTCACTGTCGACACAACTCTGACAAGCTCAATCTAAATTGTTAAAATTTGGCGACAATGAAAGGCAAAACTGACCAGCCTTTGACAATCATCAGCTTGTAGACGGATCTGTTTACCAAGGCGCCGTGTCAATCTTAATCCGCTTAATAATCGCCGGAATTGACCTTTAATTCAATCAACATGGAGAAAACGGTAGCGCTAAGCCGTGTTAATTACAAGAATGGAGTCGGGATCTCTATGCATGTCTATCAATATATGTGTTATAAGACAGCGAGCTGACATGGGTTGGGCCGACAAAATTTGACAGTGTCAAAACAAAGACGTGTCGTAGGTTTAACGAGCCTACAGATTTATACACAGAATAAATATGTTCGATGTAAGCATAAATGTTTGGATTGAATTATCGGATTTGTTTAAGAAGTTTGTTTGTTGTGGACATTTCTTCCGGCGTGTTTACAAAGTACCCGTGCAGGGGAAATATAGCCACTCATCTTTTTTCGTCATTATAAACTGCCGGGCACAGGAACGTATCACCCATGTTTAACTGTCGCTAAAAATGAGACAAAGATGAATCGGTTATTCCCTGGTGATGTATTTCATACGGGTGTCATAGTTGTGTTTTGTAAATAAGCTTGCAGTGTTTCGGTGACTGTTTTCAGTCTCGTAACGTTTTCATAACCTTTGTAATTTTCTGGTCAAATCCAATTTTCAAGCGTGTGCTTTCCTTTGACTGGCAGTGCATGTGCACTATTATCATGGTAGGCGCCATATATGACATCGACGAAGTGTGGTAGTGCGAAGGTCACTCCGGTTTTACACCGTTGTTACGAATTTTAGAGCAATATTTCAGCTTGAGACACAAGAAATGAGCTTTTTACACATTTTACCCATATGGGGAAATCGAACCCGGGCCTTAAGTTGCGAGCGCATATTCGAATGTCCAGAAATGACGTCATGATAGAACAATATTTTATCGCGAAGTGAACCACGCTTCGTCCTTCATCGTTCTTTGCGATTTATCGCGTACCTATCTTATATACATAATTAAATAGTTAAATAGTATATATATATATATCGCATGCGTGAACATCAAAGAACAAATTACCAGAAGTAGGTATATGGCAATACAAGTGAATTCCATGCACGTTAACAAAGCACAAATGGTGTCTCTGTTTCAAGCATCTCAATACGTCTGTGTTAACACAGAACCCATGTCACTGATCGCAGGATAACATAATCCATCATCTACATAAGTCTACAATTAAAGTCCAATTAAACAACATAATTAAAAAGAATAAGAACAAATTGTACTTGAGAGCGATGACGCTTACAAGGCTTGATTCCTCAAATCAGGGTTAACGGCCCCCAAAACATGACACTGTAGCCCCCGGGATGAAATCCGGCCCCTCGGGACAGATCTATAGTGTGATTAGGCAACTGAGTGCAATACAGTATAACGCGACAGCGTAACGTGGCTTCAGGCTTGCAGTGAAATCGAGAAGAAGATCCTATTATGAGCTCGGGGACGTTTATCTGTAAGCATACACGCGTTATGGACTGCTCGGAAATTGAAGATATACCGGAATCTGATTATTTTTATTTCATAATTCTTAATAATATATATAGAAATCATCTGTGTTGTATGAGTTATCAATGCTTGTGCGTCACGCCGTTACGTATCATTACTGGTCGTTATCAGCTCTTAGCCGATATCAATGTAATGTGATATTAATATTAACAATATGTTTCAATGTTATGAACGTAATCCGTCATTATTTGTAAAGAAGTACCAGCTTGCTTGAATGGCGATCATTTATTTTAGATCTCATCTGGATTCTTTGCTTAAAAGATTACAGAAAATAGCACCAAATCACGTCAGCATTTACATCACAAGCAATGACAACAATAAGGAATAAGCATAATAATCAACAAAACGGTACGTCTTATAAAAATATACAGAAAGGTGAAACATTAAAATTATAATAATACCATAAAACAAGTATCAAGCCCGGTCTGCATTCTGAAATTGACCCTAACTGATAAACCCTGTAAAACCCTGCACAAAGCAAACAAAATATTTGCTTGGTATTTAGAAGTTAGATTCATAATTTTTGCCAGTGTGTTCACCGAAACGTTGGAAAAAAAGGTGATAATCACTACTGTCTTGATATTACCGACAAAAGCTAAACTACGTTCTCTATCTTAATAAAAAGATTTTTTTTATGTGAAATAAAGATGACAATCATCATTGAATTTCTATGATAATTAAACCTATTGGTGCGCTCTTGACTGATTGATTTTGGGAAAAAGTGTCTTCCATGTAATTAGCACTGTTTCAAGGCGCCAGTGTAGCATCTGTTGATGAGGCGCTATAGTGGATTTCAAAACAGCACGTGGACCTCGTTCGTCATGACAAATGCAATCAACACCCTTGTTGTTTACAAGACAGTGATAAGATACCGCCGGCGTAGAATCACAACTCACTGTCATTAACACGTTATGTGCTAATTACGTTGAATAATGACGGATAATTAACATACATTTCACAGTTGTACAGATCCAACGAAATTGATTATCTTGGAGATTTGTTTTTTCAATAACTCCAATAAAGGCTTTTCACTCACCTGTGTCAAGATTTTTAAATTGGAAAGGAAAACATATGTCTGACAGATGTTGGTTCAGTGTTAACTGAGCCGACTGATTTGTGATACCTATCATTTAATCTAATGGGTTTAATGAAATGATGATATTGACACTGAAAATCATGTAAATGCCAACAGAACTAATAAATTATATAGGAAGTACAAAATAAAATCTGAATTATTTGAGATCGCAACGAAACCGGGAAAGCGGGCAGAGATGAGAGATTCCCGACCTATCTCTTTCTGAATACCAGCAGAATGATGACGTTTGTATGGCTGTAATATGAGGGCAAATGTTTATTTACCACCGATATGTGTGATGTAACACGTATAAATGTTCAAGTTTCATTACTGAAAATATAGCTCACTGCAAATATTGTCATAACACATAAAGACCGTATGCATTTATTTGAGAATGTAAAGAAAACGTACACGAGTTGTTTTCAAAGCATCGTAAACATTCGTCGTGCGATTCAATATGACCTTTAACCTGCTGTTGTATGTGCGCCGGCGAGCCAAGTGTAGGATAGGGGAAGTAACTCTAGTTGTTTTGGTTGACGCGAGTCGCAGGCCGGACTTGTTTTGCGTTAAAACCCGCACAGGGTTGTTAGCGGAGACGCGAATCGCTTGTTGTCAACACTGCTGGCCATAGAAATACCTGGCACGATTTAGCCAACTCTTGCTCATACACAAAGATGGAAATATTTCATGTTTCTGTTATACATCATGCAGTATTATTTTTTTAAATGATGTAATTTTTAAAATATTGATTTAAAAAACCATGTCGTTATTTTGTCAAACGTGTATGCTATGTGAACTTTGTATTTAATCGTGGATTTTATGGATTTCGAAACTGCTTTCCATATGGTAATATGACAAGATATAACGTGTAAGGTCAGTATCTGAAATCTGAACGGAACTGGCCACTACGCTACTGAGTATGGGGGTAGATACCCATTCCCTAAATGTGAGGGCTAATTTCTTGCCATAAACATATTTTCGTGATAAGCAACGACATAAATCCTCTCAAAGAGTATGTAATTCATAAATCCCCGCACCCACGCTTACAGTCATGACAGTTTAGATGCTGGATTTAGAGCATGTCACAACCCGAACATCGTAACATGCCACAGAAATTACAGTTTGTCGCGGAAATCACTGTAATCAAACCACATACATTGTGATCACGTCCGCTTACAACTGTTGCGACTTAATTAAGTCGCCTCGAAGCTCTTCACCTGAAGCTGGGGACCTAGCAAGTGGCATTGTTGTTCACCTGTCAAAACTTACTAAGCCCCGCCCCTCGACAAACCGCGCGTCGTCAACCAATCAGCGCCGAGTACCTCAGAACGAGCTCACTATGAGTGCACAGCGCAGCACATGCTGGTTGTAGAAGCACTCACGCTGTTGACGAGCACGGATGTAATTTGATAGAGCCGTGAAACATATATTCTTGTGAGATACAAGTGATCATTCGTGCATAGGACTTTGGATATAGCTGTGCCCATGTGAGAAATTATAAGAGGAGTGAGCATATCATTGTTGCACAATAGTGATCGCATATACTTATAAGACGTTTGACGAACTGTACAAGTGGTGAAGATGCCTGTCACTGCATTGGATACAAAGGCTATGCTACAAGTCCCGAGCCAGGATGGTTTTGACAAGTACACGGCGTCAATAGAATTGTCGAACGCTTGCAGACAATTCTACAAGTCTCGGGTAGAGACGGCAGAAGCTATGAAGGAGAAATGGGACAAGAGCCCGTCCACGACGACCGATGCCAATGGCAACGGGAGGCAGAAGAACTCCATAGACAAGGCCATGGAGACACTCAGAGCAGAAATGGTAAGGAACTATCATTTTAGTTAACTCTACTAACTGTAAAAATGATGCACAGAGAAGTTCATAATGTAGACTTCATCTAACCTGTCGTAATTTCAAGACATGTAAGCCTAAGTGTAGATTTATACGTGGAATTCTCATTACAATCGAGGTAATACGGGAGAAAAAAAGTAGGTTATCATTTTAATTTAATTAATCAACGTCTTCTTGACAATGGTATCGTTGTCAGAAATGGACTAGTTTATCTCAAGACTTTGGGGTTATTTTGTTTTGAGTGGAATAATAGCAAATGTGCTCCAAAGCCCAAAGCTAAAAACTAATAGCAAAGACAATTAGCCTAGACTCGTGCAGGCTCCGAAACAGTGAATACATGTCGGCATTGTATTGTCTAAGCTTCTGTGCACCGTCGTAACTCATGGCAATCGCCAATCAATGCTTCATCAGATTTGTCCAATAGATAAACGATTAATATAGGTCATGTCGCTACGTAATCAGCCCAACTTGCTAATGAATTTCCATGACAACAGGGTAAGACACTGTCAAATGCCAAATACCTAACAGTTGGAAGCAATTACTAAAACAGCTGCACACGTGCCAAGCTGAACTGGTGTGGGGTATCTAGGCAATACCGTGGCCCTCGGGTTCACGTAACGAGTCGTAGAAGTGGCGGAGGAAATGGCTAATGAAACAGAAAAGCTACCTCTAGGAACTGGCTACTTAGGGAGCTCCCGTTTCCTCTGTCACAGTGTAATGACCTACGTTGATTATCCTGTTCCTCCGTAGAACACATGGGTAATTTGACATAGGATTGGCCCCTTAGGTCAGGTTATTGACACGCTCGATGGCATCCCGCTTTCGCACTTCGAGTGAAATGTATTTGCAATGTATGACTATGATATTCCATATATTATTGGACGATATGGGTTATGTACACATCACCGAGATACACAAACAGAACAGCAAATATAAGACTGAAATTGCAGAAATTCAAATTGCGCCTCTATCTGCAAGATATTTAGACCCGGGCGGCATTAGGTTCAAATAGTGGTAGTTTAGGGGATGAACGTTCAAGGAATGTGTTTACAGTCAGTCGTTCCGTAAATAATCAATGAATAATGTTGCATTTGTACATGATTTTGCGTTCGATTGGTATTCGAATTTTGTGTATTATGGTATAAAAAAGATATTTTGGTCTTTTGTCCCCAATGACATTTCGATACTGCAAAGTGCCATGTGTTGGGCGCGCGCTCTACCGCCAAACGTAATCATCCCAACCTTCTCTTACCGGTGCTCTGAACAACATGAGCAGTCACAGTAACCTATGTCGGCCATCTGTTGCGGTTTATTGCAGCCACAGCTAATTACTGTGGGGTTGGATTACGTTTGAGTATTACAGTAGCACAATGACTAGGTCAGGAGTTGAGTTAGCTGGTGGGAGATATTTCCAATGTATATTCAGGTAATTGAAGGTTGTAAATTTACGCATGGACTGAGACAGCTGGCAACGGTGACTAACTTGTACAGTGGGGAGCGTTAATTGGAGGCGCCAGTGGCTAATTGCAATTTGGTTGCCGACCAGTTTATTATCAAAATATGCAAATTTGCATTGCCAGATGTGAATCTGGAGAGGACTAAGATGGATTGGCGGCTAAAATTGATGGGTTTTTTTAACTTTTCCTATTTGTGGAATATCATTTTCTTACACATTACAAATAAATATGTTCATGTCATGCAATTACATTGATAATAATTTATCGCTTTTCAAACTAAGGAAATCTATTAATTAATATTTGCAGCTGATCTTATTTCGTTTTATTAATATACACGATCAGCTTTTCAACATGAGATTACACGTGCAACCACAGTGTTGACACTGAGATAGCAGCCTACGTGCATATGTCCACATATTCCTGGTAGTTACGTGTTGAAATGACATCTTGAGCGCCTGTTTTGGTCACATGACCAAAGATAACAATATGTGTGTCGAGGAAATCAGTGTGAAATACATATGACTCACGACAATACCAGCTCGAACCTACCTAGTCGAAACGTTCATCTCTCCCCATAACTTTATTAAACCACAGTAGAGAAGGTATTAAGGAACAGACCCTTTATGTACCACTGTTTCATTTGAATCAATCAATGCAAGTTTTAAAATGTCAAAATAACATAATATGTTGCAGCAAATGTTTGCTACTACCATTGTCCTTAGTTAAAATACTCATGGTTCAATTTCTTTGGGGGGGGGGGGGGGGGGGGGGGGGGGAGGGCTATCCTTAGCAGGACAACAGTTAGACTGTTTCCTTGCTGTTGAGGGGGATTTCACTTTGTCCCCGCTTGCCTGGCTTAGTATTAGCATCAGTCTCGCGCTAGTACCTCACATCAAAGTTTCAATCCACAAAGAATCTATTTCCTTTGTACTGTAACCAAAACCTACCATTGCATCACATTGCGTCACAAGCTGCTACTCAGCAATAAACCCTAAAACCATTATTATTTTACGTTCACGCCAAGTCATTGTTGGGTAACGCGCCAGGGGCTAAAAGAACAGCTAGTGTTTTGAAAGAGGCCGGTCGATGAGAGATGGGGCAAGTTACATGCCTGCACGGAAGCAACTCGGGGCAAATATGTTCCCAGGTAGCGAGCATGGCAAGTCTCTTCTCCTGCAAACATTGTGCTTGCAGTGCAAGTTTGTTGTCGATTGCAATCTTAGGAATTACTTCTCTTGCCAGTTATTTTCATCATTTAGGTCATTTTCTTAATTTAGTACCAAGGATTTCTGGACTTTTCTTTGTTTTGAGGAACATTGTACTATTGTGCGAAGACCTTGGTCCACTTTCTAATTCCGGTTACAGTGTAAACTGCCGCGTCTTAGCAGTGTTAATAACATTAGAATAAGGAAAACGTGATAGTTTCATGTTTTGGGAGATGTCGTTAATTCATGGGTTTTTATCTTGACTTTTTGTATATTTTCATGGCTTAGTAAGAATGCACATATTTTAAAGTGACGTAATAGGGTTCCAAGTGGTATGTTTCAACATAATGTAACAAGGATATTTCAAATAGTTAAGTTCTACATACATAACAACGACATACTGTTGAATGTAACGTGATCACGTGACTCAGCATAGCTGTACGTTTGCGCTCTACTTCCTACACACAGTACCTTGGCTACATATACAGACATAAAGTCACGACGTAGGGCATTAGTTACAAATCATTTGCAACAAACACTTATTACTTACCCTTACCTGTGTCTTATGCAATGTTGTAGTCGTTGGTTTGGCATTGTAACCCTATGAAACCAGGATAATACCTTTGACGAAATGGGACAACCTGTCCTTGCTGGTGGTTATGCAATCACGACGCATTGATTGCTGAGACCTTACAGCTTATGAAATAATATAGAATCATATTTTTGATTTATTGGAAACAAATCAACCGTTGACACAATCCTGCTATTCTTAGATCCCTGTTGCGTAATGTTAAGAAACATTGTTTCAGCCATGAATTAACAGAGACAGGGTTAATTCCCGGTAGATTTGCATGTCACTATTGTTGTATATAACATGATTGATTGATATAGACATATATTTACACGAGACACAGGGCAATGACCCCAGCGTACGTATATCCGGGATAAGAGAACTGGGGTCGAATTTATAGCTGATAGATTAAGGGTTTGTGACAAAAGGGTGGTTCTTCAAAACTCGGAATGGGGTCACGCTTTTAGGATAAGGAATGAGGATGACTTTTTTGTAACTAGAAAACACAAAGGTGGAAGTTAAGCTTTTTCAGTTGAAATACCTTCCTCTTTCATGTTATTGATTCCTACTATCCAATCCCAACAGCATTTATGACATTTCAACCCAAGCGTCCCCTAGCCCTCTGTCTGCCCCCAGAGTGAGATACGGACAAACACCGTTCCCATCGCTTAGACACGTTCGCTAGTCCGCGATAGCTTTTTACCTGCTGGTAATGTTTGACCAGAGCATGGTGTGGGCGGGACGAGAAGATATGGTCGTCGCTTTAAACCTACCACTACTTCCTTCCCGCGATCTTAGTTTTGTAAGAATTTACAGGAAGTGTCCAGTTGCCTGGAACATGAGACCTTTAGATGGGATTACTTCGCTAAGACCACGACTCGTCTAAGTGTGGTCAAAATAAATCGGGGTTGTGAAATAAGGTCTTGGAGTGATAATAGTCTTTCTAAAACAGAAGAATTAAATTATTATATTCTTAAGTTACGTTGGCAACGTGTAAACATGAAAAGGGTGTACAATAGTATGGTTTCTGCCATTGCGTCAAAGGCTATACACTGTTAGTCAAGTCTATTTATAACATAATGGACAAAACGTGTATTTCACCTCAGACTGATGTTATCAACAATAGCCTATAGGTAAACTGCGTTTCACGATACTGTAGGTTACCATTCGTCAGCCAGTAAAAAGTGTTGGATATCATATTTCATATTGACGTTCTTACACACGTGACTGTATGATGAAGCATCGCGTGACCCGATTCCTATCTCCATGTGATATATATCACTAATGAATATTTTGTATTATAAAAAAAATGTCAACTACGTGAGAAGTCTCCGATGACAATTTCATGGAAGAGTAACTCTAGTCAGTGGTCAAGTATAGCCCTAGTGTCACATAGTTCCGGTGGCGATTTATTTGAGCCAGCAATGGACAGTGACAAACCATGTCCCGCCGCCATTTCACCAAGAATGTCACCTCTTTATTCGACCCGCTTTAAGCCTGGGGCGTCCGCACGACCCCCGTGCCATCCATTTTCATTTTTTTAAATCAATCTCTTTTCAAGTCTATCAAATCCCCTAACCCCCATAAAGAGACAGCCTGTTTGTAAGGTATTACGGCCGAACGCGAGAGACAAAATATGGAGGAAATCGGAGAGGTTATGTTTGGTTAGGTCTGTACTTCGGCAGGATGGAGACATACTGTGGGACAGATATGGGGATGACGAGGAACCGACTGTCT